CCATCGGCTTATTGCAAAACTCATTAAGTGAATAGAGTTGGGACAATGTTATTAAGATTATACACCGTAAATTCTGAGTAACGATTTTTATGTTTAAAAAAATTAAATATCGTAGTGCGATCAGTTATAAACAATTAGCGAACTACAAAAATAACGATTTTTAACGTTTACAAAATATATATCTCTAATATACATATACCTATATATAGAATTATGATCTGTTTAAAGTACGTAGATCCTAAAAGTGGTTTTATTTGAATAAATTTATGACAATTAAAACTGTTAAGGTTTTATGATTGCACAATTACTGACTTGACGTGGAGACAGTTCACGAAAAAATAAATTAGAGAAAATTTTAATTTACCGAAATATAGCCTAAATCGTTGTCTGATCGCTAGTAAAGTTTCTCAGGTAACTCAATATTCACGGTTTATTAATCTATACGTTTAATAAAATGATAGGAAAGTCAAAACTGTACATTGAATATTTTTTTCAAAGAATACTTGGGGTGTGATCTACAATCGTTACCGAAGCCAAAAATATAGTTTTTAGAATTTTTGTCTGTGTGTCTGTATGTATGTCCGGGATAAACTCAAAGAGTACTGCATGGATTTACAGCAAATTTGGCAAGAATATTATTAAGAAGTCGGATCAACATATAGGCTACACATTATCTCGCTATCACCTACGGGAAACAAGCAGTGAATATTTATTTCTAACTAACTCCACGCGTACAAAGTCGCGGGCGGCCGCTAGTTGTCAATAAAAGGTTGATTCTCATATTCTCCTGACTCGACGTTGGTCCCATAATGAGGTTCTTAAATAAAATGACGTCAACGTAGTTAATATTACTTAATTTCCTATTCTCATATAATAAGATTGTATAGACTTTAGGAGCAATATCTCAATAACAAGGACAAATTTTATGGGAAAGAAATAAATATTGCCATGATTCTCGTTTAATGTGTTGGTATTCTAAAATATCTGTTTTAAGTTTTTATTCATCGGGGCAATCTATCAATAAAAGTATTACAATAACTAATTAACATACATTCCACGTCATATATTGCCTTTGTGGTTGATGGTCCAAAAGTGCTCCAATATGATGATATACATAAATAAATACCTATTAATGATCTCGTATCTATCTATGTGCTTTCCCAACGGACATAACCTTCGTCAAAATCAAACGTTCTGTATTCTAATTGGAAGCTGATACGACACTTTCCTATAGGACAGGGGTTGATGGTGTTGTTTCTGTCGACGAGTAAGGATACAGGGCTACACGTGGCAGAATTGAGGGTAGGCAACACGGTGCAAGTGATATTTTTGATATCGCAAACGTCTATTTTTTTTATAAACTCGCACCAATTATCCTAGCCCAAAGTAAGCACTGTAAGGCTTGTGTTATGGGATGCTAGGGTAATGGTTAGAATACATATATGTATAAACTGTACATATATAAGTTTATTTATATAGAAATACATATTAAACATCCATGACTGGAGTACAAATGCTCGTATTCATCACACAAACATCTGCCCCCACCGGGATTCGAACTCGGGACCTCTCGAGTCGGCGACACCATGAACGCGGTATACAAACCACTCAGCCATCGAGGTCGTCAAATACCAGACCAGGTCGTTTATGGTGACCAGTTACTATCAGGCGGGCTATGCTTGTTTGCCACCCCTTTTAACATAAAAAAACGACGGGTTGCACTCCGTGAGTGCCGGCAGATGTGAAAACTTGAATATTAACGTTGTGCATTTTTGATATTTTGGAATGGTTATGGAATAATTTTGCACGAATTACTTTAATTATCAGTATCAAAGTATTATTATGTATGTTGTAGAATACAATATTCATATTGCGCTATCGTACACAAACATGACAATTTATATTACATTAAAAAAGTTTATCTCTCCGAAAAATCAACTTACATGAATCACGTTTAAGCGCACTTAGCGTCATCTATTGAAAAGAAATCAACTTACATGAATCACGTTTAAGCGCACCTAGCGACATCTATTGTAAGAAAATGCATTTTCTTCGCAATAAAGCTACCACGTGGACATCCTAGATAGAAACTTATTATTATGATACGATAAAATAAAATATTACTATGCATCGGCCAATATATTGAAAGTCAACAACCTTTCCAATTTTATTGTGTGTCATGATGCGATCAGCCCACGTGGTGAACCTGATGCGAGTTTAACATTTTTTACCCATACAAAAAAGTGTACAACGCCGCTAAAGAAGTATTCACTTAAAAACAAAATAAAAAAAATACATCTATTTCCCATCACTAGCGCGACTCGTCTGAGCGTTATCCCTAGGGGAGCGGCCCCAGGCAACGCTAATTTATTCAACGTTCATTCTGCTAACGATCACATCACTATAGCACTGAAAAAACGTAAAGGAGATAAATTAACTTTGGAATTTTATGTCTTTACTTACCTTTTAAAGGAACGTTACGGTCTTAGATGGTACGAGTAAGCTATTGAGAAAAAATTATACCTACATAGCTTGTCAATTATAATTTGATAGACATTTATTATTTGACACTGAAAAGTTAGCCGCGAACGCCCACGCTGGGCAAGAAACACGCAGACTCGCTAGCAAAGAATCTTATTTATTTAGAATGTATTAAATTTAAGACATTTTTTATTCATCATAATAATGAGTCTATTAATGTTCCCACTGCTGGGGCACAGGCCTTCCCTATGAATGGAATAGGCAGATTGGGCTATGACCCACCACGTGGGCGCAGTGCAGATTGGCGGGTGCAAACGACTGCAGATGCAGCCGGGACCAACGGCTTAACGTGCCTTCCGAAGCATATAGGAGCTCGAGAATTTTTGGTCACCCATCCAATGACCGACAACTGGAAAAGTCGCTTAACTTCAACGATCGCAGCCGAACGCGCTAACAACTTACGCTATCGAGTTTCTATTTTTTTTATTACGACTATTTATTTGCTATAATAATATTAGTGACCCATCTTTCCGCGCAAAGGGCTTACTCATCAAACAGCCACAGTTTACTGCTCAATGCGTGGCATCTGTGGTATCTGTATGAATTAAAAAAGAACATTGTTGTTGACGCGCGTTTTCATCCCACAGCACCCAAACTCATCATGAATTTGAAGTTCTTTGAACAATCCATGGTTTCAGAATCTTTTATAAAGAATTCATATCATGGGTGTAGTCATAAAGTCTTGTATGCAACTGTTTACAATTACGTACCTATTAAAACACTTATGCGATACTATTATCACACTCGGCTTTTTCGTGTTTAATACTCCTCATTATACAACAGCTGCATAAATAACTATTATCTCTTAGTCCACAAAAGGTTTCAGTAACAATAGCCTGTGCAGACGAGGGACAAATTGTCCGCGGACTTTTTGTCAGTCAAATTAGATCACTTATAACTGCATCGAGTAACGCACACGACGGATTAAGTTTCCCGAACAGCCGAGGACACCGAGGGACCGGACAGGACCAGGACAAAAATATCCCCGAAGAACACATGTGACTAAGGCCCGTATTATAGAAAGATTCTCAGTGATTGATCTAGTCTTGAGCATAGTAAGAAAAGGATGTCGCTATATATAGCACATAACGACATCCCTTTCTAACTGTTCTAAAGTAAAGATCAACACTTGGTTATAATTCTGTAATACGAGCCTCGCCGCACACGGGCCACCGACCACAACCACAAAACGCCGCCACCGGCATATTTCTTGTAGTTTTCATACATTTTATATGGACTCGCCACACACGGTACGCCGGTGGCCGCCGTGACACGCTACCAATCGTCGTTGCTCGCTTCTTGTGGCCCGCACCGGCCACTTAATGCGCCGATACAAAACGCCACCACACGTCACTCACGCGATTCCCCACCCCTCTCTCCCTTACCTTAGTCGGCCGCTGTCGCGCGCTTCAGCCACTGTAGTAGCCGCTTCTAGCTTCTCGTGGCGGCGTTTGTGGCTGTGGCGTGTGGCCCGTGTACGGTGACACTAAAGGTAAACCGCTTAACTTTGACCTCGTACGCGGGTAACAACAGGGTGTGATGGAGGACGAGAACGGGGGTCGTGAGAGGTGCGGGCGACGGGCACTTAATTTTGACAAGAATGTGCCTGCCGCCCGCATCTCTCACGGTCCCTGTTTTCGTCCTCCCCCACACTCTTTACCCCGCAGGCGAGGACTCTGTTAAGCGGTTTACCTATAGGCGCAGGAACACACACAACAAACTTTAGTCTGTTTTGCGTGCCCTATCCAATTTAAAGGATATGGATCCAGTATTCTACTTTACTTAAAATGTCTTCGCTTCTTCTTAAACTTCATGTAAATAGCAACGAAACTCTGAGAATATTTACGCTTTTCTAATTTTACGGGAGATAAATGTCCGTGTACGTTGAGTCCGCAATAATAATACTTTCGCGAAGTAATTATAAACGAAAGAAATTTAGGATAATTTATTTCTTGTTTTCTAAGGAAATGGAAAATTTAGAAGAGATCGTTTTCTTTATTTTGTCCTTTTTAATTCATATTGATGAATGAGTCTCTTTATTATTATTTTCTTCTATCCCTTCGAAGCAAATTCAATAATAATGATAAAAGCGTAATCTATCAAATTCATATATTTAATGAGTAAGTTTACATATTATATCAATCTCAAAGTGATCTCCACCTTGCAGAAGACTACAGTGAAATTACCTGACGTTTAGTGGTGCTGTGTTTCTATTGGTGAATAAGGTTACAGGGCTCCACTGGGTAGGGGATGAGGTCAGGGTAGGCAACGGCGTGAGTGATATTTTTGGTATAGCAAGCGTCTGTACTCTATGATGAGCGCTTACCACCGGGCGGGCAATATTCTTGTTCTTCACCCTTTTAGAATAAAACTCATAATAATATTAACATACATTTATCCCCATAAATTTATGATAAAGTAAATCCAAATAACTAATTGTAATATTTCTTTTGTTACAGTATATTCTACAATCGGCACTACATCAGAACAAACAGCTGATCATGACAGCAAACCCACAGACAAGCTAGCAATATACCCAAACAATTTAGTAATATATCCAAAAAATAACGCTAAATTAAACATGGGAACTGCAAGGACCAATGTAAATAATAATAAAATAAATAATAAATTTTTAAATGACAACACAATAGCTAAAGATGTAAGAAAAGTAGAATTTAATAATGTTGATAGTGGTATATTTGATGAAATTTATACAGAAGAAAAAGAAAATTTATTAATATCAAATCTAGAAATACACAAAGCAAACCTGAAAGAGATTGCAAGAGCGAAAATGTTAAGAAAACGTGAAGAGAAGACAAGAATGGTTCCACGTTACGATGGATACAGAACTATGAGATATTTTGATGAAATTGAAAGGGACAATAGAAAAAGATTTGATAGATCTAAATACACAAAGCCAAGGAGACGTGTGAAAAGAGACGACGATCCATGTGAATCTTTTATGTTTAGTAATCCAGATCAGAAGCAAATAACTCATCCTATAAGGAAAGATAACAGTAGTAGCAACAACTATGCGAGAGGTGTTGATTGTTATACTGTAATTAAAGGTAAGTTATAATATGAAATCTAATTAGGTATCATTAAATTAATAAGGCTTTTAAATATACATTGTGAATTTATAGTATCCCAAGAAAACTGAAAATCGTGTAAATAAAAATAGTACAACCAGTTATAAACAGTAAACGTAACGTACTACACTGCAAAAGTACAAAATATCCTAAAATGGAATACCTATTATGGAATCCTTATTTGTTGAAAGTACGTAGATCCTAAACGTAGTTTTATTTGAATAAATTATTAAATATTAAAATTGTTAAAGTTTCATAATTGTACATGATGTTTGAAACATATTTCTAAATAAAACTTGTGGAAATATAACTTACATTGATGTCTAAATCAGCTAGTGAAGTTTCTCAGGTAACTCGAAATTCACGATGTATATATCATACTTCTCTCGGTAACTTAAACTTACACAACTTTAACTTAAACATTAAATTGAAATATTATGTTACATAATAAAGTAGTGAACAACTTCAAGTAGAAGCTGAAATCAATATTTTCGATATCCGGTTAGACGTCAGAGAAAACGGATACAATTTTCAGAAGTTTGTAACTTCAACTAGCCAACCGCAAATACTTATGTGGTCAAATTTATATTTGTGCAATATTATAATAAATAAAATCATATTTTAGTTTATTTCTCAGAAAACAATTATATTATAATAGATCAACTCAATTACAGAAAAGGCAATATAAACTTTGACATGGCGATATCAATAATTTGTCGCTAAATTGTACGTGATTCATGCAACATCCATTTAGATGTATTCAACTTATACCCATGTAAAATTGTGTTTAATAGCGTGTTCTCTTTAATTTCAGGTCCTGATGGCACAGTTATCGAACTAACCTTTGTGGATGTGTTCCACATAGAACATCATCCGGATTGTGCTTATGACTATCTGCAGGTAAGTTTATTAGACTTAAACTTATATTTTACTAGCTGACCCAGCGAACTTCGTACCGCCCTAAAAAATAGGGGTTGTCCAGCGGACAAAATTGTGAATCTAAACCATTCTCAGATCCCCTTGAACACACACAAAAAATTTCATCAAAATCGGTCCAGTCGTTTAAGAGAAGTTCAGTGACATACACACTCACAGAAGAATTATATATATAAAGATTACTAGCTGTCCCAGCGAACTTCGTACCGCCATAAAAAAATAGGGGTTGATTGTAAAGGGTTGAAAAATCAGGGTTATATGTATTTACTAATGCTGTATCATAAAAAAATAAAAAAAAAAATGAAAAAAAAATTTAGGGATGGATTACCCTTAACATTCAGGGGGATGAAAAATAGATGTTGTCTGATTCTCAGACCTACCCAATATGCACACAAAATTTCATGAGAATCGGGAAAGCCGTTTCGGAGGAGTTTAACCACAAACACCGCGACACGAGAATTTTATATATTAGATTTATTTGACACACCATAGACGATTTCACAAATTTCTATGTGAATTTATAGATACAAATAGAACCTACTCAACAGTGTAATTAACATTAAAAGCGACATTTATTGCTACAAGTAGAACCTGCAGTGTAATTGACATTAAAAGCGACATAGGTACTTAAACTCGTAAAGGTAGTAAATTAAAGTTCAGTTACGTCAACCTGCAACCTTCCTTTTGACCGGATTCAAAGGCCGGCTTTTTGAAGATCCTAAGCTCACTGACGCTTTGCAACCCCTAAGCTTGCGCAGAGACGTTGCGTCCTTGGGCGTGTCGTACCGTACAATGGATAGTGTCCAAAAGAAGGAATTATTTAATCTATTGCCAGCAGCGGCCAAATTCTTTTACCACACCACTCGTCGCAGAAAGAAGTTTCAACCCCACCATCTAGACGCTTAGCGTTCTAGCACCATGCAATATGCACGTCCCTTTTCTTACGTTCCAGTAAGATCTGGAACGAACTTCCTTCGGTAAATCACTGAAGGAAGTTCGTCCTTTCAGCTAGGATAATTATGGCGGTCTTCAAAAGGCGAGTTAACCTTTTCCTTCAGAGCCGGCAACGCATGAGTGGTACCTTTGTGCTAGTAGGTAGACTAACTGACGTCTGTCTGGGGAAGTAATCTCAACCTTACAAGAGACCACAGTAAAATAGCACTACCTTTTGGTGGTGTTGTGTTTCTGTCGGTGAGTAAGGTTCTAGGACTGGGACGGTGTAGGGTTTTTTTTATTTATTTTTTATTTTATTTAATGTTTATTGCCTTTACAATGCAAATGGCGGACTTAATGCCAGTATGGCTTTCTCTATCAGTCAACCGGAAAAAAGTTGCAGAGAAAATGAAACCGCAGTCAATGAACAGAGATAACATTAAAAAGCATTAATTACTTATACCTACACATACATACATAAATATACATTATAGCAAGATATAATAGGTACACACAAATATATACATACATAAATACATATCTAACAATAATATGCAGTGTCTGATTATAGTATCCTTATTCAAATTCAAGCATTTTGCGATAAATTTAAATAATGCTCCCGCGCCAAAGACCTAAACGCATTCCTGTTTGGGGAGTTACGCACGTGCAAAGGAATTCCACAGCCGAAAGGGTGTTCGAACTGGAGACAAACCCAGTATGGTGAATGGGTACTTCAAGTATTAAATTATCATTGGAACGGAGATTTAATTGATGGGAAGACCCCAGGAACTGAAACCGAGATTTCAGATATCCACAGGTGCGTGGATCGTATAGTAAATTGGATTGGGTCAGGGTTCGCCACGGCGCGAGTTATATTTTTTGTACCGCAAGTGTCTATTGACTATGGTGGCCGCTTACCATCAGGCCGGCCATATGCTTGTTTTACATAGGCCACCCTTTTGATATTATACAGAAAAATCTGAAGCTCAGTTTGAATAGTATTGCGTCTTAGATAGGTAGGTAGGACAACTTAATTTCTAACCATTTATATTGATAAATCCCGTCCGCTGGTCTCCTTTATTCTGAGCTTAATCCAAACGATGCAAATTAAAATAAATGGGCTTACTCTCCTCACAGTTTTCGATTATGTTCCCACAAAAGCTTTTCAGAATACATTTTTCAACAACAACAAATAGGTTAATGTTTTTTTCCTTTGAAAACAAGCGAGCTATTTTCTTAGAAATCTGTAAAGTGGCTATTTTCAGTTTTTTTGGACACCACTATTTTTTCAAAGTAGATTATTTTATACTGTACAAAGGAGATGTAAACTAATAAATAAACTTCTTCTTCCCTATTATAAGAAAATAGAATCTTAGGATATCATTTAGTATGGATGCATTATTGTTCACAGATTCGAGACGGTTTGAAAGGGTATGCGGACGAAATAAAGACCCTGTGCGGCCACACTTTTCCGCGACAGATCGTGACAACCGGCCCGTACGCATGGCTGAAGTTCCACTCTGACGATACCATAGAGTACGAAGGGTTCCGCATCAATATTGCATTTAGACAGGAGCCGAAAAGCCGTGAGTATACCTCTTTCAGTAACAGCGCAAATCTTGTATCCCCTTTTTTAAAACGAAGAATAAGCGTGGATAAGTTACTACATGTTTCACGCTTCATTGAATGACAAATGGCAATTTAGTGGTATGAACAAAATACGGCGTAACTAGTCTAAGCTTATTCCTCGTTTCATAGCTATTAACGGGATTGTTACCATGTACCTTGTTTGTTATGAGTCTCCGATATTTCGGCAATGTTGCAAGCGCCATGATCATGGAGAAAGTGAAGTAATTGCGGGTAGATGTTATTGGCAGACATATCGGTCTACCATCTGACGTCTCATTTACTGCGCTCAATACCCCTACCACTGGTCACATTCTCACTATTCACTCACATCTGTTCCCGACAAACATTACTCACAGTATCAGATTGCGGAAGGACACTTTTTTGATTTTTGTGGTTTTTGCACTACTGATTTTCCACTGGATTCCAGACACTTGACAATTTAAACCCATCCTCACGATTAAAATTCTTTTGTATGGTTATTTCAATCGCTTCCCTAACCAATCTTAGTATGTAGTGGCGTTCTGTCGAGATAATTTGTGGATTATTGAGCTCAATCCAGTTATTGGGACCCGAATCAATTAAATGTTCCGCGATGGCTGATTTTTGCGTATCATTGTTTTTGACTGCTTTTATGTGTTCTTACATTCGGCACGCTTCTGCCCGCTTCGTTTGGCCAATATACGAACTACCTCAGCTACATTAAAAAAAAAAAGCAAAAATCAAAAAAGTGTCGTTCCGCGATCTGATACTGTGAGTATTGTGTATCGGGAGCAGGTGCGAATGAATATTGAAATTGTGACCAGTGGTAGGGGTGAACGCAATAAAGACGACGGCAGAGGGTAGAAAATAGTTTTATCAACAAAGAACTATTTTAGTTATACATTACCTAGAAAATAAATATCATAAAAAAAATAAAGTTTTTTGGTCATAAACATAAGCCCAGCTTACTTTTTCAAGTATTCTTTGCGAAATCGAAAAGTTAAGATTTAAATATTATTGACCCCGTAACCGTATATTAAATAGACACGCCTCAGGAATAATATCACAATGAATATTCATAAGACTATGGCCCGTATTACAGAATGACAACTAAGTGTTGATCTTTACTTGAGTACAATTAGAAAGGGATGTCGCTATGTGCTATTTAAAGCGACATCCCTTTCTAACTATGCTGAAGACTAGATCAATTACTGAGAATCTTTCTATAATACGGGCCTAAGACTTAGACATAGTCCAGAAAAAAAATTTTGCTTGCCAGGCCTACAACAATTTTGTTTGTTAACAAAGACATTAAACTACACGTACTTTTCTTAAGTTGTTACTGTTGTCGATTCTGGCATGATTCTCTAAAGCTAATATTAAATTTGACAATTTGATTTGTATCCTTGTCATTTTCTATACAGAATGAAAAGGAGAGACTGATGTGAGATTTAGTTTTAAGTTTAGAGAATCATGCCAAAATAGACACCACTATCAATTAAATTAATTAATTCAAATGAAGGCCTAATACTGTTTAGCATATCATTCCATCTTTGTCAATTGTTTAAAGACCGATAAAGATAGAATGAGGTGAGTCTTAAATATAATTAGTTACATATAATTAAGGACTTTAGTACAAGTTGGCCTTAATGTTTTTCTGACCTACCCAGTTTCCATGGAAACACTATGGCACTCCAAAATATTCAATTTTTGTTTGGTTGCAGGCAAAATACCCAAAGACTGTTACAACGAGGAAGAGGGTAATATGAACGGATTCATAGGCATAGACAAAATCAAGGATAGTTGCAAAGAGGAAAGCAAAGACCAACCTCTGGACGTACTTTGGACAATAAGAACTCCTGAAAACACTAAAGTGAGTAGAGAGATCAAACTTTTTAGCAATCGATAGATACGCAGTACGGATGCTGGGTCCATCATATAGTAGACAGAGAATTTGCTAGACAAATTTGATAGGAGCCGGTTAATGCAGCCTTAGCTACTCGATCTAAAATTTATCTACGATGTGACCGAAAAGACCGCAAATGCACCAAAATTAGTCACAAAGTCTTTTTAAACCAAATAAAAACAAATATTGACGATGATGTGTATTGAACAGGATTTAAACCTAAATTGAATTTAGAATTTTGGTCCAAGAGACTCCAACCGTAAGGTTTAAAGAAGTGGTTACAAATACAAATACTATTCTCTTGGTTGTTTTATCTACATCTTTTGTTTACAGATTTATCTCAATTTCACTAAGTACTTTCTGAAAAAGCCAAACGAGTGTGAAGAGAACGTCATTCAAGTATTTGGATCCGAATTGGAGTATTCTGCCAGGTGATTTTTTTATAATCATCAATATGTAAAAAGCGTGACAATATGGCAAGTCTGTTGACAAGCGCTCCCTGAAATTATTTGATTCTTGCAATACCCTGACCTCATCCTCTACCCCGTGAAGCCCTGGAAACCTTACTCAACAACCAGAACATATTGTACCATAAAAGGTAGGCTTTCTTAAGCAGTGTTCTTCTATTAGAGTAGGAGCTAAGTGATCGGGAACATACTTTGGCGGCACTCTTCATATTTTGTAGTAATCGGGTTAGTTTAGGTAATTAGTTCAGATAATTCTTGCTTGTTTAGTAAGATAGGGCAAAAAGCCTGTTTTCGCTTTGCCGTTTTAGGTTTTATCCACAGTCAAATATGGAACCAATCATTCAATTACCTTTCAAAAAGATGAGCAAGAGTAGAACAAAATCACAGGGGCATTTAAACGGCCCGTTTTTATTGTAGACCAGGAGAAATAATTTTTGGGAGCAAAACATTTTGAAATTGATAAAACCCATACAAAAGAGAACACATTAAAATGATTAAACATAAATTACGGGCGATTTGAGGTTTGGAAGGGTGGGTGGTATATTATTAGGGGGGGGGGGGGGGGGGGACATTTTAATGAAAAACCTAAAGTCGGTCATTCTTTTTCCTAATGCAGGTTAGCCCATTACTGCGGGTCTGTCGCCAATTCCGTTACCACTAAGGACAGCGAAGGTGGCAAAGGGAAAGACAAAGGGAACCTCATGTACGTCAGGTTCTTTGCATCGATGACAGCCAAAGACTCACAATTTAACGCATCCTACACTGCATTTAGAACTTTGGACCCTAACAAGGATGGTAAGTATTGATGAAGATTTTATAAATGTCCCTAAGGCATTGCACGCGCTAGGGCATCGCACGTCCTCAGGCATCGTACGCCCTGAGGCAGCGCACACCCTAACGCAGTGCACGCCCTAATACAGCGCACGCCCTAAGGCAGCACACGCCCTAATGCCTCGCACGCCCGTTGGCAGCTTAGTTATGTTGCAGCATATTAAATTTATGTGGAATTACAATTCATTAAAGAAACGAATACTAGTGTCAAAATATATTCTTTCAGTATCTTTAGAAAAAAAATTAGTATTAGGAACTTTATTTCATTTAAAACTTTGATTATACGTAAAGTTTCGCACGATGTGTGCGTGACTCTAATGTCAGGTTGTACTAAAGCAGTCAATGTATGCAACGAGCATATCAATCTACCTTAACTAGCTATTTTTTGTGCGGCTTCCATGCAGTTATTACGATGTCTAGGGTGTTTATATAATCAAATATTTAAATAGAAGGCTGATCTTGCGGTTCATAATTTGTATTATTTTTTTAAAATTTTCAGAGAAATGCGACGAAGACGAGGAATTCGACTGCGAAGACAACACTTGCATAGCATTGAATCTTAGATGCGACGGGTACGCTCACTGCAGACTGAAAGCTGACGAAGATGTTGATCTGTGCAAGGTTGGTTACCAAAAAAATAGGTATTTGTTTCTTAGGTTTTCACGCACATCACTCAATAAATAAAACTAGTTTTTTACGGGTTAATGCACGAAACTTTATTTATTTATTGACGTTTCGTAGCCTTTACAGGCTACGTCGTCAGAATTGAGCGTTACGCTCAATAAAAAGTCTTTCGAAGGTAGCTCGACAAAATTAAATAAAATTTGATTCTGACGACGTAGCCTGTAAAGGCTACGAAACGTCAATAAATAAATAAAGTTTCGTGCATTAACCCGTAAAAAACTAGTTTCATTTAAAAAAATAGGTATACAATTTTCAACTCAAGAAGAAGAATTAAAGCATACTGCAATGACGTTTGAGCGTAAATTTCCGCATAGACATATAACATTAAATTGACTAAGCTTTGAATGACAACTAAATTAATTGACATTGTAATGAATATATTTAACATTTAATTGGCTATTAATAATTGAATTGAAATTTGTATAACTATACATCGGTAGTGATAAGGTATGGTAATAAAGCACTTATATTTGTATTTATAGACTATGTATTACCTAACTGACTTTATAAGTTGAATTTAAACTTTTCTCTTTTCCTAAAGCATAGAGCTTTAGATTATGTTCTGAAGTTTTCAATATACAACTGACAGCTACACAAAAGTGTTGTGAACTAGAGAGATTTCAAATATGTTTCTGAAGATATGGAGTTCGATGGCGCAAGTAGTAAGCGCGTTCGGTTGTTTTCGTTTAAATTTGGCAACTTTCACAGTGATCGGTCATTTGGATGGGTGGCCAAAAATCTACTATCTCGAGCTCCTCCGTGCGTCGGAAGGCACGTTAAGCCGTAAGTCTCGGCTCCACCTGCAGTCGTTAGCACCCACCAATCCGCACTGGGCCCGCGTGGTGGATCATGGCCCAATTTCCCTTATCCATCCATATGGAAGGCCTGTGCCATATCAGTGGTAAAATTAATAGGCTGATGCTGATAATGACTGTAGATATAAACATTGAATAGTTACGCCTGAAAAGTTTAACAAAATAAATTATGATGCATTTCATGACTACACTTGAAAAATTACTTCAATAATTAAGAATGATATTATTATATTATAATATGACTATTTTTTTTCTTCCTTTATCAGGTAGATTATCAAAAAGTATTGGACACGTATTTTTTCTTTTTTCACATAATATAAACATTGCAGAGATATATTGATTTGAAAAGTCGCATGACGTCACGTTTGAGTACACTTATAAGGGAAAATTCACTCAAAAGTGACGTCACGAGCCCCTACTCCCAAACTTTGATGCGCTATAACTTTGTCATTTTTTGGTTGATTGCCCAAAGAAAAAATACGTGTCCATTATTTTTTGATTATCTAACTGACGGACTAAATAGAATTTCGTTTACTGTACCCCGTCATCACCCCTATTATAAGGTAGTGGCACCAATGACCAACATTCCCTTCCGTGATCGAAGAAAATAAGAGTAGGCAACCGACCACTAAATATGGCTGTGTTACCATATTTAGTGATCAGTACAAACTCTTATTTTCATTGATCACGGAATTTGAACAAAAGGTGATCATTGGTTCTTGTAAAAGTATTTTTGATGTAAAACTTCTTTTCGGTCGGGGTGTAAATATAAAGATCCTATGGAAAGGATGAAACGGAAATGCGTTACGAGCGTCACTATACTATGTGTATATGTGTGTGTGTGAGATGCGTGCGCAGCTCTTCCCGACGAGCATGAAAGCTAAAAGGAAACTCGGAGGCTGAAATGCTACGAGCATCACGAGCGTCACACGCGACGCGATATATATGTGATGCGTATGCAGCTCCATTTCCCTATGCCTTATGCACCGCCTAATGTAAGGTTATTTAAGAAAAGAAATTTCACTTCAGATGTGTCGTCCTTGTACACTAATATTTTTCTTCTCAAAAGGGACAAGCGGAGTCAATGATCAGCCAGCCTCACATAATGGTCATCTTGATCATCTTCTCTCTCATTCTCTCCGGCATGAGCTTCGTGTTCTTTTTCAAATGCATCCGCAAGCTGTATCAGGATCACAAACTCATCAAGGTGAGATTGAAATTTACAGCTTTGTTCATTATTATAGTTATTAGTTTGATTGCTACAATGTACTTTGTTTTTTGTGCGTCTCCGATATTTCGGCACTGTTGCTACAACCGAAGTAATTACGGGCAGGTTGTTTTTGGCAGACATATCGGTCTACCCTCCGACGAAGTCTTTTATTGCGTTCGATATCCGTACCACTGTTCACATTCTCATTATTCACTGGAAACTGCTCTCGACACACAACACTCACAGTGTCAGATCGTTACAAGACACGTTTTTGATTATTCTGAATTTAGCACACACGAACCACTGGATTTCAGACACTCGACAATTAAAAACCCGTCCTCACAATTGAAATTTTTGTTTTGTTATTTCAATTGCTTCCTGGACAATTTTTTGTATGTAGCAATCCTGCTAATAATTATAATGCTACTGACCACGAAAATTTAAAATATTATTTTGTTCGTTTATATTAAAAAGGGTTTATATTTGTACCTGTTTCTTTATGTTAGCGCTTAAATTTAGATACCACCATGCCCGTGAAAGTTATCATCCATACAGTCCACCACAACAAATATTATAGTAAAAAATATTTCGACTTATTCATATACTCCAGTCCACTTGGATTTATTATTCATGTTACTCGGTACCGCTATGTTGAGCTTATTCCCTTTCACTATAATATCAAACCGAGACCCTACAATCCGTCACTTTACGCATTCACTATATAAGTCTATATTATTAACAGGACCTTCTAAAATGGCTTTCTTAAATATATATCGCTAGCATAATGAATTACTAGTTGTTTATTATATTTTTATTTTAAACTTTTAACTTCTAGATTTATGTATCTAAAGAAATCTTCCGCCCGGATCCTACCTGTTGCCTGAACCGCGTGGGTCTTTTTCTAGTAAACAGTTTTAGCTTTTTATCTTCTCCCTAAAGTTTATTTACAAAATTGACATTGGTTGTATTTAAACCATAATAAAATAGAGTTAGGCCTTATAATATCTCGTTGTTATATCTCAATTCATTTTTATTTGATATTAAATATTAAGTAGACTCAAAGCAGGATCAAATTTTAAAGCACATACATTAAAAGTGGAGTTACACTTTTAAAATATCTAGTTAGATGTTTAATTTTACTAGATATTTCATATTAGGTAGACTCAAAGTGGGATCCAATTAAAAACACAGACATTTAAGTATCAGGGTATTAACGATAGGTATTTTAAATTTCTTATTTTCATCAGAAACACATTACGGAATCATGTGAAGATCGGTTGGACAACTTAATTAGCAGTAGACTGACCTTGGATGCAAAAAGACTTCAGAGGGATAGCGAAAGAGGTGTCAGCCTGGAAAGAGAAAACCATAGCAATGAAATTAAACGACAAAGAAGTTATTCAAAACATAAGGTAAGAACAAAGAAATGTGTTCAATAAAAAAAATCTAGATCATACTTATTAGGTATCTAATACCTAAATGAGTAAAATCATGGACGAAATCCTATATATCGCGCAGCATAAATTAGGCTTTGATTAAGGAGTAAATAATCAAAGAAATAAGCAAATTAAATGATGCAGCACTGATGAATATTTTTGGAGATAACCAAAACTTTGACAAAAGTTTACCTATTTAACTTCATTGAGTATAAAATAGCCAGGTTATATCCGAGTTTAGAAACGAGTAAGCTCTTTGTTCAATCAGGGAAGTCTCCTGGAAAGCATCGTAGATCTCTCCCAAAGTGCATCACTTGGTCCAATGTTGGGCATATCTCTGCCACTGCCGGCTAAAGCTGCAAAGACCGTCATAGATGCTGCTTCTCAGGTTTTTTCGTGTGTTCCTCGTCATAATATCCATCCATCGATGCATTTCTGCTGCAATACATAATTGTACATTTTAATATTATTTCAAATATCACAAGCAAGCATCTTGATTTTATTGACTTGTGAATGAATGCTGCATGATGCTACCAATTTGGTTTATGAAAAGAAAGAAATAAAACTTTTATTAAATTCTACAGCTAATTATGAAGAAAAGCATTATTAACGTGTTCTAGCATTTGAATTGAAAGTAAAATTTTCTTAAAATGGCAATAAATTATTGTGTGCGTTAGTATATATCTGTCCCATGATTAGTTTCTGTACGTTATTTTAGTACTCATGTTTTAAATATTTAAAAACATAAGGACTATGGGGATTGGGTTTGAAGTCATGAAGTTTTTTATCTTTGATATCTAGTAATATCATAGTTATATAACTTAATGGGATTGGGTACGAAAATGTACTCTTTTAAAAAAAACTACGTTCACGACGTAGCTTTTATAAAAGAGTTTATATTCGTGATCTGTCATGGCTGATTTTCAAAATGGCTACAGTGACTCTATCTATCGTTTCTATAGTTTGTGAGTTGATTAAATAATTTTTAAACAACTTAAACTTATTTTTTTATGTAACGCCACCTTATATTTTTGCCCGCAGCCCAGTAGCATAGATTCCGACTTTATACCTGAAGTGACTTTGGACTCGGAAGAATCATGGAACCGCGATGCAAACACTGGCCCTGTAGTCACGGAGAACGTAAGGATAGAACACAATGGAAGACCCAGAAAGAGTGACACCAGTAAGAGAGAAGAATCATTAAGAAGCAAAACAAAAGAAAACGAAGAGATAAAAGAAAGGAAAGAGATAAGAGATGTGTCGGTAGGCGCTCCTGATACGAAAGAATCTGGATGTCAAACAAGAGAGAGTCTGTTCCAAACAGAAACGGCTCCAAGTTCAGATGGTGAGTTAAATAAATAGATTTTAACAACATTAAAACTAATTAATTTCTGAAGCTTAGAATACCCTTCGATTGGTAACAAGGTTGAATGAATAAGCTTCATTGGTTAAGTGATCAAAAGCTATCAACTTAAAGCCCGTTCGTACTTCCAAAATTCCGTAATTTAATTAATGCTGGCTAGATCTGTATTCTTCACTATCATAATTTTTGAACGGTTTCTATAATTGAGTTAATTAGTACCTACACAATAATCTCTTTAACCAAATAGGTACTATACAATATTTATTTAGCAAACAGGATATCTCCGTCGCGTGCAACTATTCCATTCATAAATACAAACAACAACTGTAGGTCGCGTCTGTTCATTTAAATCTTTAGCGACGGCATTAATTAAATTTCATAGTCCGAACAAAGCTCGTTTGCTTGCTATTGTGCTGTGCTATTTTCGTTGTAGTACATTGTCTTACGCTCGCTGCCTGGAATACAGTTAACATTTTGTAAACTTGTAAAATCATAGCACAGATTTCTAATTTTGATTAAATAAATGCCAATAACGTAACACATTTATATATTCGAATGTCGACTTTATTGATAGTTGCAAGATGTCACGGGGGTTTCTCTAAAGAATATTAAAAAGACAACCACGTGAATTCTCTCAAAATAAATATCCCGAATATTGTTACCGATCTTATTGTTGCACAATTCTTCCTCAGCTAATAATAAATAATTTTACATACGACTAGTAGCTATAAGCAATTTCATCACATATCAACGTTAGAGCAAGTTTTTCCGAAGCTTTATTATAAACTCGCGGCCGCCCTCGATTCCTCAGCGTTAACTTTGGTTTTCTGAGAATCCTACAGGAACGTATTTTTCCAGTATAAAAATTATCCTGTCAAATCCAGCTAAAAACTGTATGAGTACCAAATTTCATCCAAATCCATTCAGTCTCATCATCATCATCATTGGCTTTGTACGCCTTGTACTTATACCTAGGGTACCTAAGATACCGAATCGAAAAGCGATCTTATGTCAAACGCAACCTGCCAACACGCAGCTTATACTTTTTGGTTGGGTAATACATAGTCTATGCGGAAATGTACGCTCAAACAGTTCTTGTTCTGAAAAAGCTAAGGTATGCAAATACAGGGGTCTAGGCGCCGAATATGATTTTGTCCCATTCGGTGTTAATAATGTATTTTAGTTATTACATATATATACAGGTTTTTAGTTAAAAGTATCTTACTATTTGTTCATTAGATAAATAAACGACACTAGCATGATATAATAATCTTTTTGTTCTGATGCTGCTGCCATCAGATAATTCCATCAGCCGCAGTCTTCTGTGAAATGGAACTAACACTTATATTCTCTGTCACAGGTTCAGGCAGCAATGGTCCAGTATTTTCCACGTTTGGTTACTCTGGAGCAACCATAGTGAGACCATCACCACCACCTCAGACCAACACGTCAGAGATCACCATAGAACTCCTAAGTCAAGTTCCTCAACACCCAGCTGGAACTAAATCCCGTAAGTTAAGACTTTCATTGTACAGCAGTAACAATCCTCTATTTTTTGTTTTTTTATTTTTTTGAGTCAGCCTAGAGTTTCTGACACTGACACTTTAGATTTGGAATAATTATAAATATTTTTTTTTTAAATACTGAACATTTATAGTAATGCAGAACTCGATAAAGTATTTGGTAGTCCAGGCAACGAAAAGCTATAGAGGGAAATGCTTAGAACACAATTTTTGACTTCGTAACTTTGTTAGGACTAGTTAGGAGGTAAACATATCAAAAGTCCCTGCCCATAGCCCTTAAGCGGGGGGGGAGGGGGGGGGGGATTGAAGGTCCCATTTTTAGGTTTTTCGCATATATCTCGGAAACTATGCATCCTAGCGACATGAGACTTTAACAAAAGTGAAAGCTGATTAAATTTGCTACAAGTCTCACTCAATCAAGTTTTTTGATATCTTGTATAGTTTTCGAGATATCCGCTCTTGAAAGTCTGTAATTATGGAAAAAAAAAATGCTTCACATTTTTGCTCTATTTGACCGGATAACTCTTCAACAATGCCGGCCGTAAGGTTATTGGTTCCACCAGTGAGCAGCATGCAGATTTCGGACAAGCCTGCCAAAACAAGGATGGAGCTGACATTGCCAAGCTCACCGATTAGTTTGAGAAATTTCCTCCCTTCCCAGAGACCAGAGACATTATCAAGTCACCAGAAATCCAGAAAGCAGCAGCGGTCTTTTCACACCCTTTCTCCACCACCGCTCAAGTACAAAAGGCAGGTGAAACCTGCATCTTAAGGTGGTATGAAGCTCCAGCGAAAGAGATTTCCCTCAATGCCTACAGGTACAAGTCATTCTTGAAATCAGTGGCCACCATCAAGCCTGATATCTCTTGTGTCCTTCCTTGTGTCTTGCTGTCCGAGGGAGCAGTAAAATAGTTTTCCCGGGAAAGTGGTGGCAATGTTTTTTTTTCCATAATTACAGACTTTCAAGAGCGGATATCTCGAAAACTATACAAGATATCAAAAAACTTGACTGAGTGAGACTTGTAGCAAATTTAATCAGCTTTCACTTTTGTATCTCATGTCGCTAGGATGCATAGTTTCCGAGATATATGTGAAAAACCTAAAAATGGGACCTTCAATCCCCCCCTTCCCCCCGGATTAAGGGCTACGGGCGGGGACTTTTGATATGTTCACCTCCTAACTAGTCCTAACAAAGTTACGAAGTCAAAAATTGTGTTCCAAGCATTTCCCTCTATACCTGTTTTTGAGCATTCGTTGCCTGGACTATGGGTATGAATGCATCCTAGTAAATATGGCAATTAGCACTCAAGTCATATAAAATTGAGGTTCCGAGAAATCTTTTGCAAAATCTTAGCATACAATGTCAAACCAGCACACGAGTGACAAACTAAATCCCCTTTTGGTTACAGAGAAAAAGTTGTCCGAAAGGCGTCCGATGAGCACTGAGACCACTCGCTCAGCGCCTGACGTTATCATCGTGTCCAAACCGATTCGCTGAGAACGACCCTTGGGGCCCCCTCCTTGGGCCCCAACCCCTCCCGAGTACTGGGCCTCCCCCCACGAGCCCAGGGCCCGACCGGAGGGCTCCCAGCAACCCCACATCTGCCGACAGGACTACATCTCCAAGAGTATGTCCTTCGAAGACTGTGACGGTTACTACAGCAGATACTTCCAAGAAGGACCAAAGATTATCTACGATTATTGTTTGAAGAGCGAACTTAGCTGTAAGTCTAAGACGCTGCCAAGGAATTTGGGCTCCGCCGTGGAGTTCAAACCTAAGGTCTACCCTCAGAGAGGCGTCTGCTTTTACGGTGTGGATGACGATATACCTTGTGCGAAACATAACACTGTTATTGTGACAGCGGACGTGGAACCGCACAGATAACGAAAGCAAACTGACTGTTTTAAAGTGTTGTGATAATAAAATAATTCGTTCTACCGTATTCGTTTGAAGTTTGATGAAAAGTGTGTTGGTTTTAAAAAATGTATGCTTTGGGTTTTAGTACGAGGCGACAGATCTTTATTAACAATTTATTTTGATATTATTTAAATTTATTGAATATTCTAAGCAATAATGTTGTGGTTTACTATGAGTGAGAGTGCGAGTTTTTTTTTTAAGAAACAATCTCAATTTATTTCGGGATATTTGAGTTTTGATTTAGATCATTAGTTTTAATTTTAAGAAAACTTGAATTATAAATTTAATTATGTGCAAAACATTTTGTTATAAGATTTGAAGATCTTAGTGACTTTTCAAAATATTTATGATAGTGAATTTAAAATGAAAAATTGTTTGACGAAAGCTTGCTTTAGTTATCATTCTAGGAAGTGAATAGAAAAATTGTTAACATATTGAATAATTTCAATATTTTATAAATAAAAATGTTTTAAAAAAATATCATAGGAATAGTGAATATTAACGCACATCAATTCGAATTGAAAATGATATTTCACACTTTTTTAGGGGTAAATATTTTATCTTTACTGTAATTTAATGTCTGGTCTTCCGAATGATATACATAAATTATACATAATTTTTCATCGAATATATATATATATTTATATATTTTAATCGAAAGATCTACTACTACTTACTTAGTTGTTTATTTATTTTACAAAGTTGATGCTTTCATTAAGTTACGGTAAATGTCATTAATTTGGTTAATGTTATAATGACTAAACATTTCTTAAAGTAAATTTCATTACATTTTTAGTAATTTAGTAATAATTCACTTCGATATTTGGTAAATGGGATAAAGAAAAACAATATTTTTGTCAACCTTTTTCTAAAATGTACCTATATAAATAATAAAAAATCTATTTAGCACCCGCGACTGTAAATCCCACCTAACGTTGAAAATAGGAAGGTTCCTTATGTATTTATACATTTACCAATGTGTAGTGCCTAATTATTATTATACCGAGTAAAATAAAATCATTAGTCATCATATTTCTTCCCAGTAATTTATTAATAGTTGATTAAAAATTAATAAAATTTAACTTTTTATTTAAGTAATGAACTGCTATATGTTGATATCTAAGGAATATTAATTAGAATATTTTTATTTAAACATCTAGCAGTTAAATGCTAAAATATGACTACAATTTCTATTTCTTCTTTCAAATGTTTATTACTTGTAAAAGTAGTCGTTTGACATTGTGGGTTACCTACAATGCGAAGAGATGGCGCTGCCTTGCAGCCTAAGAAATACTAGAAAAAATTCAACACAGCCATTAGGGCCGCGGTAGCATAATGGTCATTGCATCCGCCCGGATAGCGGAGGGTACGGGTTTGAAACCCGTCTGCTGCCTGGTCCGCGTGGAATCTTTTCAAGTTAAATATTCTATGATTTAATACTTAACTTTTTAATCTTAATTACCGTAAGAATTGGTTTTATTACTGCGACTGTTAAGTAGTGCTGCAAAATGAAATCTAATTATGCATTTGATTAACTTTTAAATAAAAATAACAGAGTGTCATTGTATGGTTTGATATTAACAAGAATTATGATGGTAGTCAGTATAACAATATTATTTATTTCGTAAACAAGGTCCTATCGGGTTGCCCTTTTAAAGTCATAAAGCCTTTGGCCGAACTTTTTACAACGGAAATTAAAACTTTGGCTGCCGACCCTTTTGCTCGAATTTCGGAACTCGTAAAAACACCAGTTAATACTTCGGCGTCACTTTACACTTCGCAGTCAAAAAGATTATGAAATATATTTAGGATTATGGTAAATGCAAATTCTGATCGTCAATCGAGTTCAGTTATTTTGAAACAGCTCATATTTTTTCTTTCGATAATCATAATAATTATAATTATTTATTCAGTTTAGGCTATTACAAGCACTCATGAATGTCTAGAAGCTACGCTATCGATTCGTAAATCTACGGCGGGAGACATTGTACTGAGAAGAACCGATAAGAAACTCAGCAAGGGCTGTTTAAAAATGGATAGCTTTGACAATGGGGAATATTGTTGTTATTTACGTTAGTAAACTAATGAAAAACCTTAAATAATACTTTTATTTTTTCGCTTTAAGTGGTGTGCACGCTACAACAATTGTTCGTGTACAACATTTTTTAAATGTGATCTCGGAAGTCCTTGGGGTTTTCTAATTTTGTCAAAGATTGCCTCAGACAAACATTTCTCAAGACATGAGATCTTTGCCAGGATCATGCAAGGCAAAGAACAAGGCGAAGCTAAGCTAGGCGTTTATATTTTGTAATGTAAGATTTCGTTTAAATCAAGTCAGAAACACGAAAAAGGATCGATACAGAACAAAAAAGGCGACCTAGTGCCATTGGAACGGCTTCTATTTATTTTATTATGTAGAAAAAAACTGTTCTATTAATTTCTTCGAAAAGTTACTCGCACTATTGGGTGGATAATATTAAATCATAAAAATAAAATAGATTAAATTTTAAGTTGTATAAGTTTGTTTTATTATTAAAGTTTATTTACAAGTTTTCAATAACATTTACAAAAATAAAACAACTATGCACATAAAATTCCCCATTGGTCAAAATTAGCTTTTAAATTGTATTTAGGTGAATTCAGATTTAGAACAATTTTTATTAATTTTTGAAAATGTTTATGGTGTAACTTTTAGAAAAGCTTGCTCGCAGCGCATAGTTTGATATTATTATGTTATTGTTTATTAAGAACTAAAACCTAAATAATTTTATTTCATATGAACCAAAAACTAAATAATTTCATTCTATTGTTGGTAAACTTAGTTGTTATGAATAATGATTCAATTCAATTTAGATGAATTTTTCAATTTGAATTTGAAATATAAGTAGTTGTTTGATAGTGTATATAGTATGTAAATAGCTTATGTTATTATATAAATTGTTACATTTGTAAGTATCGATTAAATTTTAAGAGATTTTCATTGGATTTGTTTTATTTCGTATTAAAATGTTTCCTTATTAAAGTAATAAAAACTGTTTTCCTAATTTGACCGCAACATTTTGACAACCGATTCCATTACCGCGAAGGTTGCATCATCTCCACAATAGCAGACTAAATGAAGTTCTCAGAGCTGCCCAATGTTTCTAATCAAGTATTATTTGTATTAGAGATTTCCGATTAAACGTAGGCTTAGTCTACAAGAACCGATCTTTATTTCTGAGAACGAGTGACTGATTTAGTAAACAATCTTATTACTCTGGTAGTTTATTTTTATGTGAAAGAATGGAACACATTTACCCCTTGATAGTAAGCAACCACCATAGCTTATAGATGCTTGCGGTACCATATTACTTATCATGCAACGTTACACTGATCCTACCGTAACCCCGAAGAGCCCTGGAACTTGGAAGTTAATTCATACTAGCGCAGACACAAAGCATATTCAAGAGAATTCCAGGAATAGTAACAATAGCTCATTCACGCTTTTCCGCAACGTACAGGTCAAAGCACGTAACTCTAGCGCTGAACAAAACGCGGAGGGGATAGCTGAGCTTGGGTACGACTGGAGAGCCAATCGGCGCAACGCACGCCCACCCGCGCACCTCGTTTTCCCCCAAGACATCTGCGTTTTTTTACTTCTGCGTAATAACGGTCAGCGCTAGAGTTTCGTGCCGCGACTTATATTACATATTTCTTCTGAGCTGATAATCAGCGGATCCGATGAATGCGCACGAATTCGCTCGTGTTCTCTTTATTTCAGAAGGAATATGTACATAAGAGTGAATTTGCTTTGTTACCTTTCTGAAATTCGCTTCGATGCGCTTCGACTCTGCACTAGTAGGTATGAATTGACTATTACTCACCAACAGAAACATATCACGATCAAAAAGTAACGTTATTTCACTATGATCCCCAACTATAAGAAGGAAGTGCCCAGACGGGCTCTCCAAATAGAGCAGAAAATCTGATGTACCTACTCTTTTAGTAGGCAATCTTGCAAGCGATGTTCCTTATCAACTGCCTAATTAATCACCATGTGAGTCGTGCAGCGTATATCGAACCCTACCGTGGCTAGGGTTCGATATACGCTGCACGACCTATAGAGAGCTCGGATGTGCGGCGTCGGGAGAAGTAATAACACAAGAAAAGATGAGTCTTAACTGAATATTTTTATTGAGAAGAAAACAGGGTTTTTATAGTAATTTGAAGTAGGTCAATACGATAATGTTCCACAATGACATTAAGCTTGTTTAGAAAAGTATCCGATTACATGTTACACATTTACCTTAAAGAAAATAGAATATTAATTTATAATAAAAACACTAATCATTTTTAAACATCATCGACATGACATTGTGCATCGCACTACAGAGCACTTAGCATAATTGAACTTATAGATTTTCAATAAATAGTTTATCATCATTGGCTCTGGGGTCCATTTACAGCAAGACACTGGTAAGAGGCGGGGAAACACAATTATCTCCCTCTTAAATGGGGAAAATTGCCGGAGGTTAATAGGGAGGGAACTCGTTGGGGGCCGGATACTACAAAAAGGAGGTAAAAAAAGTCATCGCGAGAAA